GGGCCCCTCACTGTTGTGGCCTCTCCCGTTGCGGAGCACAGGCTCCGGACGTGCAGGCTCAGCGGCCATGGCTCACGGGCCCAGCCGCTCCGCGGCACATGGGACCCTCCCAGACCGGGGCACGAACCCGTGTCCCCTACCAGCAGGGATTTTTATGCCCTTCTGGTAACAGTCGAGCCAGACTGCATAAACATTACCATTAGCAATCAAAGTGACCCTAGTGTTGTCACAGGATTTTTGGATATTAAACAACACAAAATAAATCCTGCTGTCCTTATCTTAGCAAAGGGTAAAAGCCAGATATTCAGAAGTCCCTAGAGATAAAGTTAGAACTTTTCCAGTCCAGTTTTAAACAAATTCTACCTTACATGAAACAAATGCACAATATATCAAAATTTATGGGATGCTGCTGATATAGTACTACTTACAGGGAAACTTACAGAATAAATGATTACATTAGAAGGGGGTTCTCAAATAAATGACACAGTCCACCTTAAGAAAATAGAAAGGACAAGCTAAATCCTACAGGCAGCCCTATAATAAACCTCTTTCAATGGGAGTCACCAAGAACACTGGATAAGTCACAAAACCCACATCTCTGGAATCCTAGATCTCCATTCTCTCAACCATTTTCCTGCCTGCACAGCAACAGCCTTGACTTGATTCACTGAATCTAAGGGAATCCACAAAATGTTTATAGATTGTCCTGCAAGTGATCTTGACCATAGGATAGTTAACAGCTCTGGAGGTCCTGACAATTTCTGTACCTTCTCATCCTACACAGCCATAGCATGGGAATATCTTAGCAGGTACTTTTAGCAGGTACATCCCTCTAGGGTGTTGTAATCTCTCCAACTACTTATTATTCACACCCAATGTTTCTGAACCATATGGTTTCCACCTGGCTCCTGTAGGTCTTCCAGCCAGTGACACCTGCCTACAGAATTCTGAACTCAGGCTCCTTGGCAGGTACCAGAGGCCAGCTGCCTCTTAATAAGGCTTGGGAATATGAAACATTCTATAGGAGCAAGGGACCAACTGCTCTTCTTCATACTTACTTATGGGCCTACAAATAAAACTAGCCTCCAGGCCACATGGTATGTCTCACAGAGCCCTGAAGTCATTCCTAGGTCTTGGGTAGCAATGCAAATTGGGCCAAAAGTGGACAGCTATTCTTTGCCATCATGCTGTCCTCTCTGAAGCACAGAAAACCAAGGATTCCCACAAAATCTGTTTATCATTTCATGCTGGTAGAACACAGTTGTGTCCTCAACACACTCCACGCAATGAACAGAACCCTCAAGATTAAAGGCAGCTAAGAGTAAGGACTTTATTATTGTACAAACACGAGCAAATGTGGGACACAGAGTTCCAGGGCTGCGGGACTTGGAGACTGTATACATCCACAATGAGACCAAGAAATACACGAAGGTAAATCTCTGCAAGCTCCCTGGAGAGCCCACCTTATGAGCTGATTCTTTCCACATCTAAGCCAGTCAAAGGGTGAAAATGAGGCCCACTGTAGGCCACTGAGGCCAGTCATGACTCCTTCCAGGGACTGGAGAGATGGCAGAGGTCTGCCTGACTAAGCTTGTAACTCACACACCCTGTGGGGCTTTGCCAGATGGGAATAGCAGGATGCCTTCTACTAACCGGGAAAGGCACTATAGAATGTGCACCACAGCTCCTGAAAGCATCTCACGTGCGTGGCACTCATCAGGAATCTTCCTGTTGTGGATGTTCATATGTATGAGGTTTCACTTCTGACTGATGGCTCTCTCACAAAACCCACGTTCAGGGCTTCACTCTGGGGACAGTTGTTAGGTTGAACAAGGAGACAGCACATTCCCTGTACTCTAAAGCCTTTGTCCGGCATGGACTTCCTGTGCCAAATAAGGTTTGGCCTTTGGGTGAAGGCTTTCCCACGTCTGCTGCACTCACAAGCACTGCTAGGTACTCTCAAGTGTACAGTAAGTTGGGAGCGCTGACTAAAAGGCTTTCCACACTCACTGTACTCTCACGGCCTTTCTCCAGCGTGAGTCCTCTGGTGGAGAACAAGTGTGTGTCTGTGGTTGAAGTCCTTCCCATGCTCCCTACACTCAGAGGACCTTTCTCCAGTGTGAACCTTCCAGTGCCGAATAAGGTTTGGCCTTTGGGTGAAGGCTTTCCCACATCTGCTGCACTCGTAAGGCTTTTCTCCAGAGTGAACTTTCTGGTGCTGAAAGAGTTTGGAGATGCAGCTAAAGGCTTTCCCACATCTGCTGCATTCGTAATCACTGCTATGAATTCGCCAGTGTACGTTAAGGTGGGAGCTTTGACTGAAGGACTTCCCACACTCCCTGCACTCATAAGGCCTTTCTCCAGTGTGAGTCCTCTGGTGCAGAACCAGTGTGTGTCTGCGGTTGAACTCTTTCCCACACTCACTGCACACAAAAGGCTTTGCTCCTGTGTGAACCTCCTGGTGTCGAATGAGGTTAGACTTGCTGCTAAAGAATTTTCCACAGTTACTGCACTGATAGAGCCTTTCACCTGTGTGAACTCGCCTGTGTTCAACAAGACCAGAGACTTGTCTAAAGAACTTCCCACACTCACTGCACTCAAAAGGTCTTTCTCCAGTGTGTACCGTCTGATGTTTAAAAAGGTCACAGCTTTGGCTAAAGAATTTCCCACATTGGCTGCACTCATAAGGCCTTTCTCCAGTGTGGATTCTCTGGTGCCTTGCAAGTGTATCTTTCCGAGTGAACACTTTCCCACATTCACTACATTTATGAAGCTTCTGTCCAGTGCTAAGTGCTCCCCCAAGCTCAGTGCTCTTATGGGGCTTCATTCTGTCATGAGAAACCTGGTGCTGAAGGCCAGAGGTGGCTGGTAAGTCCACTCTGCCCTCACCGTGTATGTAGGTCTTCTTTGGCACATAGATTCTGCAGCTTTTCACAGTGTCCCTGCCCTCATCCCTCCTGAAGAATTTCTCTCCACTGTGCTGCTTGTGGTGCTGGTGAAGGTCTGCACTGAACCAGAACTGCTTCCCATGTGCCTCACATATGTGCGGTTCCTGCCTGGCTTTCCCCCGTGGGTATTCAGTCAGGTGTAAGAGGTCTTTCAATATTGGGCCAGACATGTCACATGGGTGTGTTTTCAGACCTGCCACAGGAGTCCTGAACTGTGACACTCCTTCTAAATAAACACTCTGCTCAGAGGAAACAGCCTCAGCCTCCACTCCACACCAACAACCTGAAAGCAGAGAAGTGCCCAATGAGATGCATGTTGACTTTGAAGGAGGGGACAACCCCATCATAAATGTGTCTGACACACCGAGGATAAGTCCATGGGACTGTTTACAGGACAGAGAGGCAGGGATAGGTTGAGGAAGGGATTGCTATGCAGTGCAGGGCCTCTGAAGGTCACAGAATGGGGGAGGCCTCCTGAAGGTAAGGACATGAGGGCAGAATGAGGACAGAATAGAGCAAACAGTTTCCAGTAGGACGTTGGCTGTTGGGACAGGCGAGTGCTAGGCAGAAGGGCATGTCCAGGCCCAGGAAACTCCAATCATAAGTGAGCAGGTGGTGTTCAAAGATTGCTGAAAAATATGTGCACACCTCGTGACACATTAAGTGCAGGCCAATGTTGCAGACAAATGCGGAGTGAGCAGTAAGGAGGAATGGATGCAAGGTGGATGCCAGGGGCTAGAAGTCAGACTAGAAATAAGTCACAGTGTCCAGAATGGGGAAGGATAGGTAGAAACACTGTGTGTCCACAGGTGGAAACAGTCAATATCTCTGGATTTGAACCCAACCTTGACATCATGCCCTTCCTTGGTGTCCACTCACCAGGTCCAGGTCCCTTCTGAGCCTCTTTCTCTGTGGCTGGAGTCATATCTACCTGGGCAGGCATCCAGGGCTCCTCCCCTTGCTCCAGCTGCATGACTAAATGTGATCTGGAGGATGCTATTCCTAAGGGAAACCCAACACTGGTGAGTACTCTCTCAGAGCAACCCACCCTATGACAGACCACAAGTTAAAGAATAATAATTATTACTGGGACTTCCCTGGCGGTCCAGTGGTTAAGACCCTGTGCTACCACTGCACGGGGTGTGGGTTCAATCCCTAGTCAGGGAACTAAGATCCTGCATGCCACACTGCTCAGCCAAAATAATAATAATAATTATAATTATTACAAAAAGAACCATGAAGGAAGCATCCAAGGGTCTACATAAGTAGTGACTATGTGAGTGCCTGTAACTCCTGGTATAATGGAGCCCCAGAAAATGTCACCCGGAGGAAGGGGGCAGAACCTTGGGCACAGGGGTGTCATAATTCTAGACAGATTCACCAGCCCAGAAAGTGACCAAGACTATGGGTTCCATTGGGAAAACTATGTCTTGTGACCCCCAAACCTTTGGCTGTGTGGCTTCGGGGCTGCTCAGTAAGAAGTGAGGACACGCCATAGAGCATAGCCCTGGCAGCCATGGCACCTACTCCAGGAAACATGGCAAGAAAACTGTGTGGGAAGGACAGAGCGGTCCCTGCGGGAAAGGAGAAAGGAGATGGAGTTGGTGTGAGGGTCTTACCCAGGGAGGCTAAAAGTGCAAAGTTCTCCAGCATCACATCCCTGTACAGGAGTCTCTGATCCTCATCAAGGAGCACCCATTCTTCCCGGGAGAAGTACACAAACACGTCCTCATAGATGGCACAGCCCTGCAAAGATGGGGACAGCAAGGTCCATGAAAAGTGTCTCAAGTGAGTATCCCCACTCTACCTACCCACAACAATGTCCTGCTCACCCATGTCCCGAGGTCCCCAAGTCAAACGAAGTACCAGGCATTGATACCATCAGTCCTTGCTCTCTCCTGACTACCCCCGGTGATCACTGTGTCAGCCCACAGCAACAAAAAGCAGGTTGGGAGATAGATGCCATTTAAGCACTGAGCCTGGCCCAGTTCCCCTGGGGAACCCCACAGCATACTTCCTGGACATACTTCCTAAACCTGCGCTCACTCTTTTCACTTAAGCCCCCAACAAAAGGGTCCTAGGCCAATCAGTTTACACTCCCTCCTCTACTGCACATCACTCTTTGGACCATGCCTGCCTCACATCTTCAGCTACCTACAACCAACTTTCTGGCCCACACCACAGACATTACCCTGGACTCCCCAGATGTCACTCTGCACACAGCATGGAGAGAACACTTGGAAATACAATCAGGATGCTATCTTGTCCCAAACCTCCAATGGCCCCCGTTGCCAAAGCCCCCATTCCTGATTTAAAGCACTCCCAATCAGGCCCTTTTCCTTTATTCAAATCACATGCA